CATTGCCTGCATATGTCCCTCTCAGTCCCACCTCTGCTGAAATCAATATCTGTGGTTTCATTATCCCTTGCCTTGATTATAGTAGCTTCCATCCCTGCAGTGTTCCCATGCTTTAACTAACTCATACATGTACAGAACGCTGCTCACTACCTTCTCGCCATAAAAAGATATGTAACCATATTGCCTACATCTTCAAACAACACCCCTGTTTTCCTTCCACTTCAGGATCTGGTTGAAAATTAACCCTCTTGTTTTTAAAACCCTTCATAGATTTGCTGCATAGACTTCGGGCCAGATCCTCTGCTGGTGTAGATCATTAAAGTTCCAGCGAATCAATCAGGCCATGACGATTTACACCAGCCAAGCAGCTGGTTCTTTGTCTCTCCCTTCCCCTTTCTGTTCATCCCACTTGCCTAGCGCCAGCATCCTCCCTGCCTCGTATTACAATATCACCATTATTGGTCCCCAAGACCCTTCTCCTTTGCATTTCCTGTCATCTGGAAAAACCTTCGTGCATCTCTCCACTTTCCCGACTGTGCATCTATTTTCATCTGAAAATGTCTCTCTTCTTTTATTTTAAAATCTAGTATTTAATTAATGGAGTGTTTTGGGGTACAATTAGTATGTCAAGCACTATTCCAAGATAAGGTGTGTTATATTTTACAGAGTACAGAGAAGTTATGTCATTTCCTTCCAGGTCACAATGCGAGTCAGTGACAGAAATAGGAATACAACCCAGGAGTACTGATCCTTATGGGTATGGTTTGAGAACTAGTTAAATGAGTCTTAAATTATTCTTTCATTTCATTAGGGTTGGCAGAGCATGATGTGATCTGGGGAGGCAGTTTGTCCAGAATCTGCTGACACTATATCTCTCGGAGGCACTGAAAGTTGCCAAATTCTTTTTTTTTTTAAATTAATTAACTAATTAAAAACCAAAAATATTCTAGTTCAAGGAGGTTGCTACCTTTGGAGAAGATGCAGACATTTGAGTCTGTGCTAGGAACCATCCAGTTGGATCAGTGACTTTTATCTAATGTTTGTATTGTGCTAGCACCTACAGGCCTGAAGCTATTTGGGCCCCATTGTGATAGGCACTGTACAAACATATTGTAAATTCTAGTCCCTTCCCTGAAGAGCTTACAATCTAAAATGGTTAGGAAAGTACAGCTACCTTATTAACAGCCTATCAAGTGGCTTTGTGGTTTAGGTACATCAGCCTTGCATAAGAGGTTGTGGGTTTAAATCCTATGAAAGCACTCATAGTAGATGTTAAAACTATGGTACCTTTTAAATGTTTGCTTAGATAGTAAATTCCATGGGGCAAGGACCTATTTTGTTTTATGCTTGTACAGTGTCTAGCACAAAGGTGCTGGGGCAATTCAATGGCACTGCAGTACAAGTAATATATACAACAGCCAGTTAACTTGAAGAAATACTGTTGTCCAGATCAGCAAGTTGCAAAATTCATTACACTAAAATACACAGACATAGACATTAGGAATGGAAAAGACCTACGGGATTAGATCATCTTATCCTTCCCATGAGAATACTGTCTGTTCTCTACAGTGTCTTATTGTTTTACTAAGTTGAGATTTAAATGTCACAAGCAATGTATCTCCCACCACTTTCCTTAGGAGACTATTCAATAGTCTAATAGATCTGACTGTTAGGGAAAAAAAATTCCTGGTATTCAATCTAAACCTTTCCTTTGCTCAGTTTCACCATATTACTTCCAGTTACATGATCTTATACATATGACATAATGTTCTCAATGAAGGATTGGTTACATCCACCCTCTTTTTCTTAAACAGCAGGGGAAAATCTCTTTATTACATGATGTTGAAGCCAGAAGTCCTGTTATCCTCTTTCATTACACTTGACAGAAGTGCTATGTTCAGGAGTTTTTCTCTTGAGTGATCTGCTTGCCCAGGAAAATCTGAGATCAATTTGCGGTGCTCAATAGAGCCTAATTAGTAGAGACATCATGTTACAACACAGAATGGCATGCGATACCCAGAGATGAGAAAAGGGCTTTTTGTGTGTGTGTGTATCCATGTGTGGGTTTTTCATTTCCAGGGCTTTGAAAATAAATCCTGTAAAACAAGGTTGTGGACTCTCTGTGGCCTATGATGAGATTCTGTGGATCTCAAGTACTATGTTGGTTCAAAGCCTTGAGACAAGGACAACCCTTATTACTTGATATGTTTCAGAGGGCTAAAGAGAGATGAAGGTAGTTAATTTCTGTGGCTCTTTGCCTAAGAAAGTGGAGGTTTGGAAATGGAATAGCAGATGATTGGGGATGGGAGAGAGGATTAAAAGCCGCATCTTCCTTGGCTAACAGGTGGTTGCAAAACCTCAGAACAAGGATGAAGAAGTCCTGCGTCAGCAGGATAATGTGCTGAGAGATGAAAAATTAGATAGAGTTTGACAAATGCTGGAAGGAAAAAGCTACAGATTGTTTCTCATTTTTAAATTTTCTTTATACATAATAAAGGCTCATGGACTGAATCCTGAAGTCCTTACGCTATTTCACTCACTCTTTCCCCTGGCAAAACTCCTATTAACTTCAGTGAGTGTTCTGCCTAAGCATGTGCTGAGTCAGGTGTTGAGCATTTGGCCCTACATACATTTGTTATTGACTTTTATTATTATTTTTTTTAGGAGCCAGAGCCTCAAGCTTCTGACTAAGTAGGGTACTCTTCCTGAACCCTGCTTAGGTTATAAGCCAAGGAGGCTCTAAAGGACAACTCCATATGCCGTGATTTCAGGCTCTGTATAGTCAAAGTGAGGATCTGTAATGTCATGGGGAGATCTCATCCATTTTCCTAGGCAGGATTTGGGACATGAAAAGTAGGTTTGTCCCTGGTACGTGTGTGTGTGTTTCTATAACAATCTTCACTCTTAACTACAAGTGCCACCATGATTAAACCTGCCAGAGACTATCTTTCCCATTGGCATCAGTTAGATTGAGTAACAATAGGTCTGACAAACTAACAATGAGGTTACCTGGTGTGGTTTCTGGATTAACTTTTGCAGTGACTATAAAGCAAATCTGACATCCAGTTAAAGCAAGCACTTCAAATCCTTAACGAGACCTCAAAACTCAGGATGGCACCATGTTATCATACAGTAGTTTAAAATATAATGTGGAGTAACACCTTGACTTCCCCAGGTTCAGGACAATGCAAGGGTCAAAATGTGCAACATTTTAGAAGAAGCAGAATTAATTTCCCAAGGGCATGTACAAATTGAGTCCCATTCTTTATTTCACTGTGGCCAATAACATGATTTAGACTGGAAAGTAGTCTTTGGAGTGGTAGACTGGATGGCTAAGGAATTGGTAATACGAGGCCTTGAACTTTTAGATCATAGAAGATCAGGGTTGGAACGGACCTCAGGAGGTCATCTAGTCCAACCCCCTGCTCAAAGCAGGACCAATCCCCAACTAAATCATCTCAGCCAGGATGTCAAGCCTGACCTTAAAAACCTCTAAGGAAGGAGATTCCACCACCTCCCTAGGTAACCCATTCCAGTGCTTCACCACCCTCCTAGTGAAAAAGTTTTTTCCTAATATCCAACCTAAACCTCCCCCACTGCAACTTGAGACCATTACTCCTTGTTCTGTCTTCTGCTACCACTGAGAATAGTCTAGATCCATCCTCTCTGGAACCCCCTTTTAGGTAGTTGAAAGCAGCTATCAAATCCCCCCTCATTCTTCTCTTCTGCAGACTAAACAATCCCAATTCCCTGGTTCAAATATCACCCAGGCTGATGGTAACCAAAATCATGACCAGTTGATAGTTATTCAATGACCCATATGAAATGAGCTGATGTCTCAATCCAGTTCATAATGTACAAGTGTCCTCATCACAGTTAGTGCCCTTGCCTGCATGCCCAGCATGGAAGCTGTGCTTCCTCTCTCTCTTAGAAGAGGGACTTCCAGGTCAGGGTGCAGGCACACAGACAGGACAGTATGTGAAAGTCTTGCCCTGGCATTGTCTGCACTGAACTTGTTGTGTGGAGAGAACTATTCAGCCTCCTGGGTTGTGAGCCTGGTACCTTTCACCTGCACTAAATTCACTGTACGATAAATAAAAATATTGTACATTTGTACAGTGTAGTTCATCCCAAAGGATCCCGCAATATTTTCCAATTAACAAACAGCTATGTAAACTATATGCAGTGAAACCTATGCAAGACACCTCCTGTATTAGCCAACCTCTTTTCATAAGAGGCTGCCCCAAGATATTATCCTGAATGTTCCGAGAACAATTCTGCTACAGACTTTACTGGAAAATCATCTCTGTTAAGGAGCTGATTTTTGTCAGTCTCTTGAATGGCTGCCTTAAAGCATGTTTCACTGTATAGGGTTTACTCCATCCACCACTAAAATGCTGCAATCTCTGGGGTGAACTATGTTTAACAGCACACTGCAACAGTGTACAGCAGCTTAATGTAATAAGTGAGGGACAAATACTATATCCATTTAAACTGCAGGGGAAATTTAGTTAGACCTAATGTCAGGTAGGGCCAACACCTTTACTTGTACTAAAATTGCAACGGGTAGGTAATAATCATGATAATCAGGACTATGGTTTTAAGTCTCATCTGAAAGATGTCATCTTGCAGAGCACAGTGCCTGCTAATGATGGGTCAGGACTCTAATTCAGTACTGACTCATAAGGAAGAGTGTCGCCTATTGAGTCAACACAATTACCATTTTCTGTATCACCCTAAAAACAACAAGGAGTCCTTGTAGTTTCTAAGGTGCCACAAGGACTCCTCGTTGTTTTTGCTGATACAAACTAACGTGGGTACCACTCTGAAACGTATCACCCTAGGTATTCTTTGTATATGTCTTATCCAAATACTGACCAACCTGTCACTGATGAATTTGTGAGCTTACAGCACCAGATAGCATCATAGCAGGCCATGATTTTTTATGGTAGAATTTTTTTCATCTTTTTTTTTTCCTCCTTGAAACCAGCTTCACTGTTTTTATAGGATCAGCCTTCCCTCTGAAGAACTACAAGATGAGTGTCTGGAGTTGGCTTACTTTCCCTCAGGGGATGTTACTGTACCTTGCTCTCCAAACAGCTGCTGTTCAGCTCCCCCCTGAACTTCACAATTGTACCAGCAATGGTCAGAAAATCTCCTTCAGCCACTCATACAAGATTGACCTACCTAAATCATCCCAGATCAAGGTGGAGGCGGACCCGTTGCCGCTCAAAGACGACAGTCATGTGCTGCTTGCTGCTGGGGATGCGGATGAGGAGGAGGAGCAGAATATCATATTCAGGCACAACATCCGAGTTCAGACACCAAGAGGTGACTGTGAAGCTTTGGGACACATCAAAGATCTGCTGGAAAGGATGAAAAAGATGGAGGAAGAAATGATGGTACTAAAGGAGGCCTGCAGTATACAGAGGTGCTGTGGGGGAGTTCAAGGTGTGCAACAAACTGTAATTTATTTATTTTTGTAGTGTGTTCTCTCTAACTCCAGTAGCTTTAATTGTATGTCCCTCTCTGTGCTGTGCTATTCCCTACTGGAAAAGTCCTGGTCAGGCTGGAGCCCAGGTTTCTTACACTGGGGCATGGAAGTCTGATGCATATGGAAAGAGGGTTTAATGGGAGCAATTAATTTCCTGAGTTTGAGGTGGGAAATCCTGGAGTTCTTGACACAGAGACATCCAAAGTCCATTGAAGCCAATGGAAAGACTCCCATTGACTTCACTGGGCTTTGGGGGGAGCTCAGGTTCCAGAGCTTGGGCTGGAATTCTAGTGTTTATGAGGTGATGGAGTGCTTGGTTTGCTGTGCTCCCCAGAGGGTGATGGACAGGGGTAGGAGTGATTTCAAGGGTCCTCACACTGGCAAGGAGCTCAGACTCAGCAGCGGGGTGTGGAATTCTGGGGTTTCTGGAAGTGGTTGGGCTTGGATTAAACTCGTACAGATCCAAGATAACTTGATTTCCAATTCCAGGTCTTGAGGGAGTGGAACTCTGGAATCTCCAAGGTGGGGTGGGGCTCAGGTTCCTGGGCTTGGTGGGGAAAGCTGAAGTTCCCAAAATGTGCTAACATGTGTCTTTCAGCTTTGAGATGAATTCTGGAGTGTCTGAGAAGTCAGAGCATGGAGTTCTTGAGCTTGGGAGAGGAGACATTCTGGAATTCCACATCAGCAGGAGGTGTGGTTGTAGAATTCCTAGGTTTTTTGTTTTGTTTCCAGTCCCAGAATTTTTCATTTTAAAGGAAAATGTTGAGAATTTGTTTGTTTTTCTTTGATAGCTAACTGTCCAAAACAAAGAAGAATGCTCAGGTGATGGTCTCATATGATACTAGTGGGTGCAGCTATAATCAGTCCATTTAGTTTCTCTTTCCTATCAGTGGTTTTGAATAGACCTCTATATCTGTCTACAGCTCTATTTCTAATGCTGTTTTGTCTGCCTCTTTCTCTTCTGCATGCTACCTGCTGATGTCGGCTCTGGGTCCCCAACTGGACAGGTGTCTCGAATTGCAGTGGACATGGAACTTTCATGCAAGAGATCTGTGGATGTGACTGTGATGAAGGCTGGGAGGGCAACGATTGCTCCCACCCCAGCTGCCCCAACAATTGCAACGGCAATGGACGCTGCGTTAATGGCAAATGCATCTGCAGCAAACCCTACGTTGGTGAAGACTGCAGTCAGCGGCTGTGCCCTAAGAACTGCAGTGGCAATGGGATCTGCAACAATGGTGTGTGCCAGTGCTATGAGGAGTTCATGGGAGATGACTGCAGTGAGAAGAGATGCCCCAACGACTGCAGCGGCAATGGTTTCTGTGACAGTGGCGAGTGCTATTGCCACGACGGTTTCATTGGGCTTGACTGCTCCCAGGGTGAGAAGCACCTTCCTTTTATTCCTTTCCTCTGTCTTTTATCCTGGCGTGTCCCCTGTGTCCCCCTTCCTTCCTGCCCACTGTGGCATTTGTTTGGTTCCTTCTGCAGCTAACCCCACCCAATATCCATTAGCTGGAGAGGATGCTATCCCCACCCCATAGCCACAGGTAGGATATGGAGGCTTATAACCAGGGAGGAATGCTAACCAAGCCCATAAATCGCTCCTGGGAATAAAGGCAAGGGGGTCAGCTAGGTCTGCCTGCTGCAGTCTGCATTGGTTGTGAGTAAGCCAGAGGATTCAGTACAAGCTGTGACCAATGGTATATCAAAACCTTCAATAATCTACTCTGGGCTGAGGCAGTTAGGAATTTAGGATTGGAAGGCACCTTGTAGGTCATAAAGTCCAGTCTCCTGCTGTCTCAGGCAATGTCATCATACAATCCTGTTCATAAACTGATCAAGCTCCATCTTAAATCTAGCTAGGTTGTTTGCTCCAACTGCTGTTGTTGGAAACTCCCATTCGAGAAGCTATTTCTTGTCCTGTATCTGCACCAGGCAGTGGGGGTTGATTGATTAGACCTGAGTGAGCTGACCCGGCTCTCTGCCCAGAGATTCCAACTTGACTGGGCCAGGAGCAGAACCTCCTTAGTTTAAAGACACTATCGGTGGGGCTCCTTGCTGCAGAATGTCTGCTAAAGTCCTTCTGTAGCTGTACTCAAGGCTCAGTGCACGGCCTTGCTCTTTGGGTCATTAACCTTAGCTTGCATTTGTCTGGTTTTACACAGAATGACAAAGCTGAAAACAGTTTCCATAATCCCCTTCCTTGTGCAGGTCTGCCTTCACTGGAGGGTGTCTACTAGGGAAGGTTTTATGTTGCTGTTGTTTCTCCAAATGTATCTATTAAGTTGAATCTATAGTCTGAGATTTTCAAAGAGGCTAAGGGAGTTAGGTGTTCAAATCCCACTGACTTTCAGTAGGAGTTGTGCACCTCATTCCAATAGGTTTCCTCTGAAATCTCAGCCTCAGTCTCATTCAAGGTCTTTTAGCATAAAAAGTGCCTTAGGAGCCCTAATCAAATAGTGAGTGAATCCCTCTCTGGACAACCAGCTCAACCCCAGCTGCCAGTTTGAGGCCTTGCTACCATTACTACTTCCCATCCTTGAAAAGCCTTAATGCCCATAAGAATGGCTCAGTAGCCTAGTCATCCAGTTTGAAATATCTTTAAAATCCCTATAACTGCAAATTCATATCCCAGCCATGTCAACTCAGCCCTTCAACCTTCTGAGGCAGGTGAATTGAGTACGTGCAGATTATTGTAAGTGGTCTGGATCAGCATTAAAGCTCTGATCTTATGTAAATACTCTTTTGTTGTCCTCTGCCAGTAATCAAGCCAGTCAGCCAGGAAAATCCACATTTCATTGTCTAGGGCAGGCTGGATTTATGCATTGCTTCTGAAACACATTTTAAGAACAGCAACAAAGAGTCCTGTGGCACCTTAAAGACTAACAGATGTATTGGAGCATAAGCTTTCGTGGGTGAATACCCACTTCGTCAGACGCAAAGAACATATTTCCAGCACACATATGTAATTCTTTATGCACAACCCATACATACATCACACAGTGATATTAATGACCAGGGTATCACCAACCTTCATAAAAGATGTTACTTGATACACTTCTTATAGTGCAGTAATAATGTGTACAACCAGTTGATTCAATTGCTTTATTATTTGGGGTTCAGGACCTCTGTTCTCCCTCTGGGATGTCTGGACTCTGATTGTCACAACTACAGAAGTCAGTTTACATTTGCAGGAATGAAGAAATCACATGCACTAATTTTAGGGATTATTTGGGCCTTTGAAATAAGTCAGGGATAAGGAGAGAGTTTTCTTTCCTTCTGCAAAATCATCAGATCTCACAGCTTGATAATATATGTTGGGGTTGTTTTTTTTTGTGCCAATGTGAGCTTAAGAAGATAGTGGGAAGAAGCCAGGAAAATACTGTATTAGATACAGCAAGCAGTATTTATGGCAGTTAGCAACAGGCTACTTGGCAGGGAGAGAAAGGCAAGAAGATCATGTGATTGGGAACCCCAGTTCTGGTTAGTCTAAACTGTGTTTAACAAGTTTTTGCTTGGTCCAAGTAGACCAGACTGACTTTAAAGCATCTTAAACCTACAATAAAGTAACTTTAACAGTGAAGATCTAAAGGTCGGCTTAGTACAATAAAATAAACCCTTAAAACCAGCACATTAATCCTTTGGAATGAACTGTAACACTTGTTTCCCAGCATAGGAAGAGGAACTGAGACAGTCTTGTATAGTGATGGACCAACCTCAACAGATTCAGAAGTTCAGTTCAGTCGCTGAAAATTCAGCTGTTGCTTATCTGAGCCTATGTGTTATGGAAATCTGAGCAGATGTTCACTATTTCCTGGTTTTGGCTGTGATATGGAATAACACCAACAAATACCCTGGAGGTATTTCTGCTTTTAATCCTGGACAAAATCAGGGAGTTCCAAGACATGAAATATAAAAATAAAAAGCCCTACATATATTTAAAAGTTAATCCAGCATTTTTGATGCTGGAAAAATCATTGGGTGTTTGATTCAAGTTTTGGGAAAGGTTCAAAAAGGTTTGAGGTAAAATTGTCAAAAGTGCCTAAGTATCTAAGTCATTCTTAAAAGTGGAACTTAGGCTCCTCAGTAGTGTAAGCTCTTCTGAAAAGTTTACCCGAGCCTTATTTTATCTAAACTGGTGGTTTCTTCCTCCTTCCTTGGAAAGGAGCTGATAGTATCTCTATAATATCTACTGTGTAAAATAGAGTTTACAGTTATAAAAAAGAGTGTATAAAAATTTACTAACTGAAAAGCATGAGAATGGTTAGTTTTCTGAATCCTTCAGAAAGGTATAAAAATATACTGCAAAAATTTGAGTTAATTAAGGCTGGATCCTGTTGAGTGTCTGTGACCGTTATTTGCTATCCCTTGTCACTTTCTTTAAACTTGGTGGGATCGGGTGTCCTTACAGTGTAAATTGACTGTCAAAGAGCAAGTGTGGGATTTACTCCGCTCAAGATGTGATAGAACTCAAACTGTTACTGAGAAGGTTCTCTCTGACCTGAGGTACATGAAATATTGAGCAGGATTTCTGCGGAAACTGTGAAGGCACAGGGTCTGTGCCGAATGGATAGAGAATTGTTATTGATGCAAGGGGAGCAGGAGACCCAAAAATATTGACTTCATGAAACAACCAAACTAGAGATTCTGGATTTTTATTTCTCTCATGCATATACACATACGTGCATTCCGACATACTCATTTATATACATACGTGCAGTCTGGTGCACTTGTCTGCATATGGGGGAGACAGAACTTTCTCTTTCATGCTCCCTCGCATCTGAACTTCTCTCTACTCCCTTGAAATCACTTTTCCAGTAAGCAGTTAGTTCCTGCAGTACAGGGCTGCCCGGAGGGGGGGGGGAGGGGGAGGCAAGTGGGGCAATTTGCCCCGGGCCCCACAGGGGCCCCCATCAGAGTTTTTCGGGCTCCTGGAACGGGGTCCTTCACTTGCTCCCGGGGCCCCGGAAAACTCTTGCGCGGCCCAGGCCCCCGGAGCTTCTTCCGCTCCGGATCTTGGGGAGCAATTCGGTGGCAGGGGGTCCTTCCGCCCTGGAACTCGCCGCCGAAGTGCCCCGATGACCTGCAGCAGGGGGTCCTTCTGCCCCGGGACCCACCGCCGAAGTGCCAGGTCTTTGGCGGCAATTTGGCGGCTGGGGTCCCCTGCCACCAAAGACTCCAGGCCCTCTGAATCCTCTGGGTGGCCCTGCTGCAGTAGCCGCCTGTGACTGTCTTTCACTGTGCGGCTGGCAGCTGTAACTCATCCCTGTGTTTGACCTCCTTCCAGCAGTAGCAGTGGAAGACAATGCATTGAAAGTGCCTGGCTTACCTTCAGAACTGCAGTTTCAGCTTTTCGTAAGTGACTGATGAGCAACTGTAGAGTGAGGAGAGTTCTGATGTTTAGCTGCTGAGATAGCTAGGTAGTCTTTCTGAGGTTCAGGATCAAATGTTGTGAGAAGCGTTAAGGCCTGTTTTTGCTGCCGCTCAAATTCTGTGATGAAATCATTCCCCAGCTGTAGTTGAACTTTGCAGTACAATTGCAGAGTTACTGCTTTGGGTGCCAGTGAAAATGTAGGCCACGGATTGCAACACCAGAGCACTGCCTTTGGAGGATAACCTGCTACCAGCTATCTCCAGTGTAAAACACTGAGATATGCTGCCCTTTCTAGAGTTCTGTTCCTGCTCCCAGATCTACAGGACAGTCTTGATCTTCCTGGGTCTATACTATGTCTTACAAGCCTCTTTGTCTAGGCAATTAGAGGGTCCTGCACTTATTCTGGATGTTGTAACATCAGTATAGAATTATTTAATGCCACAGAACAAGAATGATGAAATGGCAACTGCACCAGTCCAGCCAAGCAAGGAGGAGCGTCTTTCCTCGACAGACACACCTGGTGCCATGGGTGACACTGAGAGTGTTAAGGAGGTTGTTTCTTGGCATTCTTTTGATGATTGACATGTCTGCTACAACATGGCGCTAAGTATACCTAGTTTATTGCAGTGCTGAGTGTTCTCAATTCCCATTGGCCACTGCAACTTTGTGGATACTTCTTTGTGGATAAGCAGAGGACTTCAGCCTCCAGGGCTGTCTATGTAGTCCTGTTCACCAGCAGTTCATTCATTGTATAAATGCAAAATATGGCCCTGATCCAAAGCCCATTGAAGTCAATGGAAAAACGCTCATTGACTTCAGTGGACTTTGGACTATGCCTCAAGATGAGATATCAGTCTTATAATTTCTTCTCCTTTTTTCCTGTAGTCATTGCTCCTCAGAATGTGCAGCTGCTGAAGACCACGGAAGATTCTTTGACCTTCAGCTGGGATCAGGTGCCCGATGTGGATTATTATCTCCTTAGCTATTATCCAATAGGGCACGAGGCCTCTGCAGTACAAGTCCGAGTGCCAAAAGGACAGCTCAGCTATGAGATCCTGGGCCTTCGCCCTAGCACAAAGTATCAGATCACACTTCGCTATGTGAAGAAGGGGATTTCCAGTAACCCAGAACACCTACAAGCAAGGACAGGTGGGAGCACTCCTTAACCCTTTCCTCCAAAAAAGGATTTGCTGGTCTTAAAAGTCAGGTTCAAACTATAGGGAGAGCAAACTTCTAGGGTTTGAGGGTGTATGGCACTTCACATGAGTTCCTGTCTGAGCTTTTGGAAAGGCCCATTCTATAAGCCTTTCTTCTCCCATTTAAAGATGTTTTTCCCAAAAGGTTTTTTGGGATGAATTTCCCATCTCCCGCAAAGTCCCAGCCATTGTTCCCTGCTTCTGAATTCAAGGGAGTTCACAGTGCTGGGACCAGTTTACTCTCTGACTCCAGGAAGCAGGAATGTTTCACTGTCATGCTGTCTGGAGTGGCTCACGACCGTGAGTGCCTACCTCAGGACAGACACCCCAAATTGATGGTATGTTCTATAATTAGATTTCACTGACCTAGCAACAAATGTGAACACCTGGATCACTATAATAGTCTTACCAAGGAGTCACAGACAGTCCCCTTAGATGGGAGAGTCTATCTTGCTACCCAGGAAATCTGGACTTGGTGATAAGTGGTCACTTACACCAAAAATCATGGAATGTTCAGTTTGCTCCCAGTCCCAAGAGACCAGTGTCTTATCCCAGATCAATTTGCATCTGAGATCTCACGCCAAAGACAACGCCTGTAGCCAATCCTGTAATAAATTAATTAAAGTTTTATTAACTAGGAAAAAGAAATGAGAGAATTATTTACAGGTTAAAGCAAGCAAACATATACATGCAAATGAGTTACTCTCTATGGTTCCTAAAGATGACAGAGATGTAGTAATCTGTCAATTCAATGTGTCTTTCAGGGCAGACCCAGGGGTAACCCCTGGGGATCTCTGCCTTAGTTTAGGTTTCAGAGTGGTAGCCGTGTTAGTCTGTATCAGCAATAGGCAAAAACAATGAGGAGTCCTTGTGGCATCTTAGAGACTAACACATTTTATTTGGGCATAAGCTTTCGTGGGCTAAAATCCACTTCATCGGATGCATGGAGTGGAAAATACTGAGGCGGTATAAATACACAGCACATGAAAAGTGGGAGTTGCCTTACCAAGGTGGGGGGTCAGTGCTAACAAGCCAATTCAATTATAGCCCAATTATAGCCCAATTCAATTATAGCTATAGATTAGCCCACTTCCACCTTAATTGGATTGTCTCATTAGCACCGACCCCCAACTTGGTAAGGCAACTCCCATCTTTTCATGTGTTGTGTATTTATACCTGCCTACTATATTTTCCACTCCATGAATCCTATGAAGTGGGGTTTAGCCCATGAAAGCTTATGCCCAAATCAATTTGTTAGTCTCTAATGTGTCACAAGGAGTCCTTATTGTTTTTGGCTTAGTTTAGTGTCTTTGGCCCTGTGAAAGTTCAAACAGCAAAGGAGGAACAATTTTTTTGTGACCCTGTTTTATATTTTACATTTCGTCTTGTAGTCCCTGAGACGAGCTCCCTTGCACATGACATTTCCAAGGCATAATAGGCCCATTCACCAATCCTTTGTATTGTGATATTCATTAATGGCCTGTTTAATCTTGAGGATTCCTGTGCCTGAGTTCACAAGTTCAGAGCAAACATTTTCAAAGTTATAAAGTGAAACTTAAGTGTCCTGATAGCATGGAATACTGATATTACAAGTGTGATGAATGCATGCAGCAATTTACAAGCTTTCCATAGAGTCTAAACACTTACTACATTCTTATAAGGCTGTTATCTATTTTGAACAAAATTAACATAAGATGAGCTGATTTGGTTTCCAGCTATGAGTTTGCCAGCTCTTAACTAACACTTATGACCTTGGCCAGATCTGGCACTTGGTTTACCACCATCACAGACACATCTCGCGCCTCCCCCGCCCCCTTCTGTCCCCTTCATTGTCTTCCTGACAATCTCAAATGCCGTGCTGGCCTTCAGAATTCTCCATGGACTCTTTCCACCTGACCCCTCTGAACTTATATTGACCTATAACCCTGCCCGCTCTCTCCACTCCACCAATCTCTGCCTGAACTCTCTTGCCTCATATATACTTCCCCACATCACTCTTTTGATCTTAGCCTTCTCTCTGCTCCCTCTCTGCAGTTGGAGGTAGAGGAATTTGCTTTTTAATTTGTGCCATCCTCTCTCCAAGAAATTGCAGCTCCTTACTCTCTGAGAACCATCCATTTGAATGGACACAAAAGGGTTTCAAAGAAGGAGCATGTAATTACCAGGTGGGATTTGGCTAGGGGATGAGAGGTACTACGTAGGCTGTACACCATGCTATGAAGATCCTTAAAGAGTGCAAGTAGTCAGGACTTCACTTGTACGTATGGCAATGCCAGGTGCACAGCACTTCCTAACGTCATGCTGGAGTGTTGTAGCATTATGGGGGCCATTTGGGGAAAAAATCTGTCTGGGGATTTTTTGTCCTGCTTTGAGCAGGGGTGTGGTCTAGATGACCTCCTGAGGTCCCTTCCAACCCTAATATTCTATGATTATGGACTCAGAGGGCAGAGTGCCAGTTTTGAATTGTCAGCACCACTCCCTGCAGTAGCTATGTTTTCCTCAGGCATCTCTGGGCCATACCTGAACTAGTCTCACCCTACTTAGGTGATGAGATCTTCACACTGTGCTACCTCAATGCCCTTGTTAAAGCCAGTAAAGGGTTGGATTATGGGGAGTGTGTATTTTATTTGTAACAGAACACATAGGAGCCGGAGTCCTCTATGGTTGGGATAGAGCTTTACAGTGAGTAAAGTCAGGCCTGTTGAAAGAATAATTGCATTCTGCCTAGTTAACCACCCTTCAGTTCATCTGAGAAATTGTACCTGGTTTTGAGGCCTGAGACCCCTGGTGAAGGTAGTTTGGCTCTTTCCTGTCTTGTGTGCACAAATGGAGGAGAGGTGGCTTTGGTGCTGCTGAAATGATAATGTGCTGCTTGCTCATCACCCTCCCCACTCTGTCTTCCTTAGCCCTATCTGCAATTAGCGCTGCCTGGGTGACAGAGGAGATGGAGGACTCGCTGGAAGTGGAGTGGGAGAACCCCCCAACAGAGCCAGACTATTTTAAACTGAGGTTCAGCTCACCGCAAGGGCAGGAGAAGGAGGTGGTGGTGCCTAAAAGCAGTGACCCCAAGAGCAGATACATCATCAGCGGTAAGTGATTGGGTATAGCCAGACGGGACATGGCCAGGGAGAAATGGGGAGAGACAGACACAAGAGAGAGATTGACTCTTGAACCATAACCTGAGAAGAGCATCTCTTTTGTTTCTCTGTGGCTGATGCTCGGAGCAGACACAGACAGTTAGCAGAACTCTTTCACTTCATGCCCAGGCTGCTGCTGTGAGACACCTACAATACACCCCCCTTCCCCAAAACACCCAGATGAGCCTTCATCCATGAACCTTGTAGTACATAGATGAAAGTCTGCCAGGTTAACCACCTCTAGCACCTACTGGCCAAGCTAAGAGGAAGAGAGCCAAGGGTTTCTCTTACAATATATCTCACTGTCACGTTAGTTTGAAACTATACTGAGTTCCCTTCAGCATATATGTTCGCTAATGAGGGAGCGGGGCTGGAATTTAACTGGCAGAACCCCAGGATAGGACCCATTTCCATTCAATCTGATCTCAAATCACTCCTTTTTGAATTACCAGAGCACTTTATTTAGCTTTCTCTTGTAGCAAAAGAGGAGGTATTATTTACTTTTTGTCTGGCCCGGAGTCTCACTTTCAATATTGCCAAACATATGGGGCAGATCCTCAGCTGGTGTACACTGGCATAGCTCCATTGAATTCAGTGATTTACACCAGCTGTGAATCTGGCTCTACAGCTTTACTTGCATCTTTGCACCAAGTCCAGCACTTGTTCACATCTTCACAGGTAGCCACCATGAGTATATTCTGTGAGTGAGGGAGCTGAAGGGTGATACCGGACATCACATGGAAAAGCTCCCCATGTGGTATGGATAGTAAATGTCCACGTACGTTCATTCAACTTTAATTATATCCTCATATAAATAAAATTTACTCTCTCATTTTAGACCTGGGAACACTAAGGATGGGTAAAATGGAAATCCCCACAATTTATGACCAGTAGGGCCTGTAGAGATGAGCCTAAACCAAAACATCAAATTCACATATTCTCCAAACAAGAAGTACAAATCCCAGTCCCACAACTCAAACGCCTCTGTAATGTAAAATCAGAGAGCAGAAGATGCAATTTCTCTAAGAAAATGTTTATGTACTTTATTCCCTAATTGTTGGGACTGTTCCTTTTGTTTTCTTATAGGCCTGAAGCCTGGCACAGAGTATAAGATCATTATCATATCTGTGAAGGATGAGATTGAAGGAAAACCATCTATAGTGAATGGCCGCACTGGTATGTATCCAGAAGTCCCAAAGAGGATCGAGCTCCATTGTACTAAGTACTGTACAGACACAAAGGGATACAAGGTCCGTAGGTGATGATGCTTGTTTTGAGTTGATTCGTGTTTTCAAGCTTCTCTCCACAAACATGAGGGTTAGAAACTTAAAAAACAAACAAAAAACAAAATAACCCAACCTGAAATTCTCAGGTAATCACCAGACTGTGGGAGCTGGGGCTTTAATACAAACACTAAATATCATGAGACTCAGCAACACTGCATTGTAACTTACTATGTAAAATATCATCAGTCCAGATGAGTGTGTGGGTTACAGGTGGGAGGTGAGGACCAGCAGCAAGGGGAAGCAACTGGGATGTATGGATGGTGGAGAGAGGGCTGGGTCCTCTTCTCAGAGGAGTGAGGAAGGCATATTGAGGGGATGTTGCTCTGGTCATCACACTGTGCGGAGGACAGATAGCTGGCCTGTCCAGGCCAGGTCCTCTGACAGCCAGTAATCAAATGCTGCATGCAGACAGCAGGGCAATTCTGTCTTGTTTTCACTCTGACTGCATTTGTTTCTCATCTGTGAGATGGGAATCCAGGATTCCCCCACTACTGGAAACCTACAGATCCCCAAATAGAATCATCATTCCGTCCTTCCCACATTTCTTCTCTGTTAATGGCATAAGTGGGTGGGTGTGGCACTGCTGAGGTCTCTTTAGTTGGCCGCTGCCTGGACGGAGTCTGCTGGACTTTTCTTTTGATCAGAGCTCTTGTTTACTCTTGACATCTGATTCCAGTTACCCTTGGAAGGAAGTGGGGTTGGGAAGCACTGCTGCCTTTGGAACACGATGGCTCCATCTGTCATCTGTGTTTTCAAACATTGTGAACACATAGATTCCGTCTCATTTTTAGTGGTTATTACTTGAACGCCCTCTGCTTTGCATAGGACCATTCTAGTGCTGCACAGCCTCAAGGCTTTTCATGAACGTATTAATTCCTCTATTATTTTCCCCTTGTTCTCTTCAGTGTGACCAAATCAGCCAATTCATAGAAGTTTAAGGGAATTTGTAGAACATAAGTGCAACACAGCTGCATAAAGTGTGCTGCCTGGAATGCCAGCTGTGTAGTGGTTTTGTGGAACAAGAGCTCCTTTGGGAGAGACCCACCCAGGTTGGTTAGCTGCACAGATGCTTCCCAGTACATGAGTTGTTTGCATAGCCTCTCCCAACACTCCAGAGTTAGTACCAGAGAAGGGGTGAAGAAGACCATCCTCCATTGCCAGCACTGCGTACAGTTCCCCAATAAAGGACATCTCAGATGTTAAAGTGATCTTAAACTAGGTCTCCGAAAGCATTAACAAAACGCATAATAAGATCCAGTGGCTGAAAGCTGAAGTTAGACAAATGGAGACTGGAATTAAGGTGCAAAATGTTAAGTGAGGCTAATCATTGGAGCAACTCACCTAGGGGATTCTCCAACACTTGAACTTTTTGTATCAAAACTAGATATCTTTTTCTAAAGGAGATGCTGTAGCTCAACCAGAAATTACTGGGTGAAGTTCCTTGGCCTGGGTGGTTCAGGAGCTCAAACTAGATAATCACAATGGTGCTTTTTGACCTGAAAATCTATGAATTATTCAATATTCAAGGCTACCATTTTTCCTTTAAGATGGTTCTCCTGCCATCTCTGGATCATTCTCTCTCCTCCCTTCCCCATGGTAGTGTGCGAAGAGGCCAAGGGGTCACTGGGATGCTTTAATGGAGAATACTAAAGGGTCCCTGTGTCAGGCACTTAGTAAGTGGACTAGTCCATTCATCTGAGTATAAAGCTGGGAACCAGGAACTCCTGATATTGACTCCTGTGTCTTTGGGAAGTCATTTAGCCCTTCTTTCTTGCTGTCCTCATCCTCAGATAACAATACTTGCCTCTGGGGTGCTATTGTGAGGATGGATGAGTTATTGCTGGTAAAGTAATTTGAAAATGAAATGTACTGAGTATTATTATTCTCCCCAAATTTCAGTTCTCTTGAAATGGTATCAGCCTAGTAAAGAGTGCCTCCTGGATTCAAAACAGCTATTTAAAAGATAATTCTGCCATTTTGTCCACAGATAATGTATTTCAAGGTTTTAAAAGCCACCATATTTGTAGGACCCACCAGTTATACACTCTGAGCCCTGCTCTCTGGCTTTGCACCAGGATTTAACTCACTAATTGTATTCTCAAAGCTATCTGCCCTCCTGCTGACCAGACCAGAAAGTAAACCAAATAAAGCTAGGTTTGTCTCTGCATTGTCAGGAAGAGAATTAATGTTTGCCAAGTAGAAGATAATAAAATTGGATGATGGAAAATACTTTCAGACTCTTGAAAGGGTTTGCTGAGCACTGTAGAGTAAAAGAAATGCAGAAATGCTACGCACGATAAGGAATGTGACTGTTGGGATCAGGTGGAATATTGCTCGGGGAGTCTTTTAACATTGCACTTTCAAATGCTCTTTTAAAGGAATAGACAGCCCAACTAACCTGGAGACCGACCAAGTGACAGAGGACACAGCTACCATCTCCTGGAACAGGGTCCAGGCTCCCATTGACAGATACATGGTGAGCTACACCTCAGCTGATGGGGACACCAGAGAGATAGCTGTAGGGAAAGACCAGAATACCACTACCCTGATGGGTCTGAAGCCAGGCATGGAGTACGTGACCTACATCTGGGCTGAGAAGGAAGGCCTGCAGAGCAAGAGAGCCAACACTAAAGCTGAGACAGGTAACTAATGGCAGGGGAAGAAATGTGGAGCGTGATCATGACCTCACACCAGTTTGTCAACTCCATGGACTTCACTGAAGTTACTCCTGATCTACACTGGTATTAGTGAGACAAGAATCTATCCTGTAAATTGTAATTCTCATTGGTAGGCTGAACTGGCCTTTAGTTGTGAAAATGGAGCCTTTTAATTGAGCAGGGGCTTGGACAAGATGACCTCCTGAGGTCCCTTCCAACCCTGATATTCTATGATTCTATTCTATTCTATGATTATAATCACAAGTGCTGGTAGAGATCCCTATTCACAGATGCTAGTCATTAATATCAGTACAATGGAGGTCATTCAATTAGTAAAACAGCCATCATCAAGGCCTCTTAGTCGACTGAACATGGAGTTAATGACTTGCCTTCAGAATGCCACAAACAAGCTCAGAAACCTTCCCGAGGTCACCATTCTGACCTTTCCAAGAACTATCCTGAGAGTAAGACATTGAGGGATAACTGGTGTAAGGGCAGCTCTCCCTTTGGTTTGGTGACTGCTCACTGCACTGGGGTTTAGCACATCTGGCACTGGTGGGATGTGGGTTTTTTTAACGGAACTGATATAGTTGCACTCAGGGTAGATGGAGGGTAGCAGCCAGTCCCTAAGAGGGCCTTTTCCTTTGTGCTAATTCATGTAGGAGCTTTGCTGTTGGCCTAAGAAACGGTATCCTCTTCACAGCTGTGGAAGGGGGAAGGACCATGAAAAGTGGGGAAGGACTGATGGGTCTCTCCTAATGAAGTATTGGGGAGAATCCTCACTCTATCTCTCCACTGTTAAACCTTCTCTAAAAGAAATTGACAGCCCAACAAACCTGGTGACGGACCGAGTGACAGAGGACACAGCTACCATCTCCTGGAATGAAGTGCAGGCTCCCATAGACAGATACATGGTGAGCTACACCTCAGTTGATGGGGACACCAGAGAGAGAGCCGTGTGGAAAGACCAGAGCACCATCACCCTGACAGGTCTGAAGCCAGGCATGGAGTACCTCATCTACATCTGGGCTGAGAAGGGAGGCCAGCAGAGCAAGACGGCAAACACTAAAGCTGTGACAGGTAATCAGGGGAATCTTTGGGATGTGATACTAGCTAACTGCATATCACAAACTGCTCCCTGAAGATTAGCTGTGTTTTGTTCTGTTTTCTTCCAGCTTATTGCACAGTGTACATTATAGAACAATTTGTCATGTGGCCAAACATGGCATAGGTACATACATGCTGCAGGCCATTCCAAGATTGAGATTTAGGACTTACCCCCACTTCCTTTTACTCAACTGCAAAATTTCATTGACTTTAATGGAGTGCTTGACTGGTTCCATAATGCATATAGGTCAGGAGTGGGAAAACTTTTTGGCCTGAGGGCCACATCTGGGTATGGAAATTGTATGGCAGACCATGAATGCTCATAAAATTGGGGGTTGGGGTGCAGGGGGGCGGTGAGGGCTCCAGCTGGGAGAGCGGGCTCTGGGGTGGGGCTGGTGATGAAGGTTTGGAGTGCAGGAGGGTGCTCTGGGCTAGGATTGAGGGGTTCAGAGGGAAGGAGGGGGATCAGGGCTGGGGCAGAGGATTGGGATGTGGGGAGGGGGTGTGTGTCTCAGGGGTGCAGGCTCTGGGTGGCGCTTACCTCAAGCAGCTCCCGGAAGCAGCAGCATGCCATCCTCCAGCTCTTACGTGGAGGGTTTGGCCAGGCGGCTCTGCGCACTGCCCTGTCCGCAGGCGCCACCCCTGCAGCTCCCAGAAGCAGCAGCATGCCCCCCTCTGCCTCCTACATGGAGGCATGGCGCTGGCCAGGCAGCTCTGCGCACTGCTCCGTCTGCAGGTGCTGCCTCTGCAGCTCCCATTGGCCACGGTTCCCAGCCAATGGGAGCTGTGGGAGGGCGGCGTTTGGGGTAGGGGAAGCATGTGGTGCTGTTATGCTTATAAGAAGCACATGGGATCTTTTTCAGGGGAAAAGGCAATACGCCACATTTATTGAAGATACAACAATTAGCATATGCATTCAATCTCACCACACACACACCTACACTGTCCTGCCAGTCGATGTTATAGTTACCAGTCCAGATCAGCCTAGTGGCCAGCTAGGTTGATCACCAGTAGGGAGGAGCCGAGTTCCGTCCGTTGCGACATGAGGCTCTGGGGAAGTCTTGGCATGACAATCCCAAAGTTTCATTGTAAGGCACCCTGTTTATATAGTGATTTTCCTTCATTGGGACCAATGAGTTTTGCTCCGTCATGTTGTAATCAATTGTTGTTTGACAAGTGCTTGTTTTCTTAAATTGTCCTTCTCATTCTTTATCACAGCTAACTTGTCCCCATTGATAGGTACCTGTCTCATCTTTAGCGTCGTCAATCTGCCCTCCTCTGACATTTCAATAGGGGTGTGTTGCAGCCTCCTGGCACCCTTGCGTCTGTCTCGGGTTCTTCCCTTGTACATCTGGTTCAGCAATGGCCTTCGCACTTATCTCTTAACACATACATTCCTCATTCACACACAAAACAGAATTAATTTACACAGAACATTTTGAACAGGAACATCCAGTTGCAATGCAAAAGAAAAACAATCATTGCATTCTTTTACTTATTTTAAAATGCTAAACCTACAACAACTTGGTGACCCTCAAAGGTCTGTCATTGCCTTGAAATCAGTCCAGACACAGATTCTGGCTGATGTAGCTCTACCCATTGGCCCATTAGGCCATTCCTTTCTGTTATTCAAAAAGGGTGGCTGGCGTGATTTGATCAAATCATACACCAATACATTTAATACATGCTACATTACTATTCTTTATCCTTAATTCTAAATTATATAAAATACAAATATAAAATCCTACTACTACCGAGCTGCCTGGCTGCCCCTTAGTGTAGGAGCCGGAGCTGGAGGGGGGACATGTCGCTGTTTCTGGGAGCTGCGCAGAAAGCCCCCAAACCCACTCCCCAGCTGGAGCACCGGAGCGGGGCAAGCCCCCCAATCCCACTCCCTGATGGGAGCTCGAGGACCAGATTTAAAGTTCTGATGGGCCGGACATGGCCTGCGGGCCGTAGTTTGCACACCCCGACATAGGTTCTATGCAAACTTCCCCCACAGGGCTCTGCCAGTGCACCACAATCTTCCCCTATGGCATCTCCTGCTATTTTAGTCCTGGAGTATGCACAGCTCTGCCAATGTATCTAAATCTTGACCCACAACAAGCTTATTACTCCAGGCTGGGGCCCCCTAAAAGTTCTGCCAAGTTCTGAGTCCTCCAGTCGTGAGCCCTGAAGCACTGATAGTGAGAGCAGTATTTACCCAGTGAGACGTGAGTGATAGTTTTCCTCTATCTCACACAATATCTAAAGGTATGGAAAGGTTTGACTCTGGAAGACATGGTACCCTAGGGGAGTCACTTGAGAATCAGTCAATTACATTGTAATAATCAAGGCTTTTACTTTCAGAAATTGACAGCCCAACTAACCTGGTGACCAATCAAGTGACAGAGGACACAGCCACCATCTCCTGGAACAGAGTCCAGGCTCCCATAGACAGATACATGGTGAGCTACACCTCAGCTGATGAGGACACCAGAGAGATAGACGTGGGGAAAGACCAGAGCACCACCAGCCTGACGGGTCTGAAGCCAGGCATGGAGTACAACATCTACATCTGGGCTGAGAAGGGAGGCCAGCAGAGCAAGAGGACAAACACGAAGGCAGTGACAGGTAACCAGGGGAATTTCTAGAATGTGATATTACAGTAGCAGACTGGCTTCACACTGGATTAGCTGTGAATGTGTCCTCCCCCTAGTTTGTTACACACAATATAAAACATAGGACTTTTTGCCACACAGCTGTGTGCTGAAGGAGTGTGCCCCTTGTAGGCATCTGAAAGCTCTCAGAAACTGGTTCTCCTGTGAGAGGAAATAGTGGCAGAAGTGAGATGTAGCATGGGTACATGCTATGTGCACTTCTCCCTCATACCTCTGCCAGTGTACCCCAACTGTAGTCTGTAGGACTCCTACTAATTTAGTTCTGTCCCTCCTCCCAACAGCTCTGCTGTTGGGCGTCATTTCTGACCTGCAGCAACCTTGTTATTCCAGTCCCAAGTCCTTTCACAGCTCAGTTTTGATCTGGAGCCCCTAGCCAAAAATTCCACTCCTGGCTTTCCCAGGGAGTTCAGCCATTGCACTTTACCTGCGGCATCACTTGCAATACCACTGCTGGGGCATCTGCCAATGCACCTCAGTTCTGACCTTCAGTTGTCCCAATATTTCAGTCCTAAAACCCCAATAGCAAGAGTGATGTTTAGCCATTGAGACATGAATACTGAAACCTATGTACATATTATCTTTCACCTGACTAAAGTTCTAAGAGTATGAAAATAAAGTTTAGAGACCAAAAGAAACAAGCTTCAAGGAGACAGTTTAGAATCTGTTAATAATGTTCTAATAATCCACACTTTTACTCAGACATTGACAGCCCAATTAACCTGGTGACCGACCGAGTGACAGAGGACACAGCCACCATCTCCTGGAACAGAGTCCAGGCTCCCATAGACAGATACATGGTGAGCTACACCTCAGCTGATGGGGACACCAGCGAGATAGCTGTGGGGAAAGACCAGAGCACCACCACTCTAACGGATCTGATGGCAGGCATGGAGTACATCATCTACATCTGGGCTGAGAAGGGAGGCCAGCAGAGCAAGAGAGCAAACACGAAAGCTGTGACAGGTAATGGGGGACAGGAGTGAAGGGAAGTTAGATGGAGACATCTCTATCCCTTTCTTATCTGGTGTTGCATGATCTCTTTTTGTATCACTGTGTATAAAGGCAGGGCCGGCTCTAGGATTTTTGCTGCCCCAAGCAAAAACAATTTTGGCCGCC